CAATTTTATACATCAATAATTTATTTATTGAAAATATAGTTTTGGGGTACGCTTGACTTTGGTCAATCATACGAGTACTCTAGTGTTAAACTATATTGAAAGGATTTAAACTAACTATTCAAATTATTCGTTCGGACGGGGCCTAGTAGAATTAATATAGTTGTAGTTTTCTTGTTACGTCCCAGCAAACATCACAAGAAGTGAAGTAGAGCAACCTGAGGTAACGATAACGCTGACTTGTGCTGAAGAGACCATCAATCCCAGCACCGATACAGTGTTGTAAAACCATTAGTTAATGACTCGCACTCTCGCAGCCATTCATTCCGCAGTCTTTGATCTACAATGGCCCAAACAACCGTACTACAATACAATACCACCAACAATCACATGTCGTTGTCGTCTAGTGCTAGTGTACAACCAAGAAACATCTCTCTATTCCCTTGAGCTGAGGGCGACTAAAACATTGAAATTTTACCAGATTATCTTTTATATAATTAATACGCCAACACAATTTGTCTGTTGAACTCCTCTGCCATTTCTTAACTGATTTTGACCATTCACGTCTCATTGGAAAGAGATGTCGCATAGATTTGCAAACTGACCTTAATTTTTTGAAAAAAAAAAAATCCCTTGGCCTCTGCCCCAGTGGCTTTTTAAGTTCCCATGTGTTTATCCCTGTGAATAACATATTTGTTTACATTATGATCAGCTGGATAAATTAATTGCTGTTAATACAGTAGGTATGTTGGTTACAATTTTCAAGGAAACATATGCTACAAACATTTACTGACTTTGTTGAAATTAATAGTATATTATGTTACTATTCCTGAAAAAAGGTGTTTACCGAACGAGTGAGGTAGCGGGATTACCATAAGAGTTCAGTTTTTACATATTTTGGAAGAGTGACGTACGATATTTTATGCCATACTACTGTAAGCTAACTTAACAATAACAATCCGTACAAATTCTTAATATTTTCCTACTGACTAAAGGACAAACAATCACTATTCATTACATCTATCTGGTAACCAGATATAAAACCTGTAAATGTTTCAATAAAAAGGTTGAATTTTTTTACAAGGGCATTGGCGGATGTGTATTTATTTTATAAAACCGATGTAAAGCCCAAAAGGTTTCAGTTTTAGTGTCCTCTTTCCGTTGCAAAGCACGGTACAACAGCTAGTATATACATATACATTTATTCATACAAGATACTATTCTGCTACCGTATAACAGCTACACAAGGTTAGGTTAGGTTTTTTTTTATTTTTACATTAAAAATGCATTTACTTCCATCTTAAATGTTTGACTTCCTAGTCTAATCTGGTGTGGTCTGTAGTTGATAGCGGTATGCAAGCAGTAGACCTACACGGTGAGCTTGTGTAGGCAGGGGTGCCCATTTGATTGATCAATTCACCAGTTCCAACCCCATTCTGAGACCACCACTGCACGTTGCTATTACACATTCTCTATATACCTCAGTCTCACACAACAATATGTTGACTATCAGATGAAAATAAATAAATATTAGCACACAAACAGTGCCGAAACTCCACGGATCCTATACTACTTTGAGTCAAGATTACGGTCTACTGTTATTATAAAGACGTCTGTACCAAATCACTGAGTACGGTCTGAAACAAACTACCATATTGGCCTACAGTAGCTTACACGAGCAAAACCATAGCATGGAATCCTCAAGTGAGAAGCAAAAGTAAAATTGGTATGAAACCAAACCAAACATCATACCAAATTAACGTGTACAACACAGCCTTGCTTGGTTTCAGAATGTATAAAATGTTGCTTTAGTTTTGAAGTTTGATGACAAATCCAAGTCACGAACCAACCCAAACCTCACTAGCTTTGAACTAGTTTTGCGATTGGCGGTTGGTTTTGATTGCACTACCATACGAAGTTTACAAATACCGTGATAAAGGCGCAAACATATTCTCCTCCGAGTATCGTTATAGAGATAACTACCATGTCTATTACTGTGTATACTATGTCTTGTAAGTTTTAATAATTGTACAAGTCAATTTAGGATTTGATGTAATGACACTAGTGAACGGCGGAGAAAAGGTTTTGCTTGATACCTTGATAGGACATAAAAAACAAAGATCAATGCTAACAACCAATCAAATTCTAATTCAAAAAAATACTCTAGTCCCCTCTTTGGAGAAAGGTTATAGTTTGTTTTTTTACACACGAATTGTTGGGTGCTGATGACGGGAATTCCCGCAATTGCTTAACATTGAAATAAATGCAACTTTTATGTTCAAACATGTCGACAGCACGAATAGTGTTAATGTATGGTGGTTAAGCGTAAATAATGTTTTCCGAAAAGAGTAGCCTATACTATAATTAAAATCCATGTTTTAGCCCCTGAGCTGTATAATAACTAAAAATAGGCTTTACCTTCGTCACTGCAGCTCAAAATCCTGTGGTGTAACTATGTTACGGCCGTTTCGACATTATAATGCCATCGTCAGACTACAAAAACACAAACTCGGCTGAAGTAGCGTCGTTGAAGTTTAAACACGTAACACATACGAACAATAAAATACATTTAAGCCGGGTATCCACAGTGCGAGGCTGCTCGCTGCGAATGCCTCGTGCTATCTGCCTCAGGGTGAGCTCTTTAGCTAGCAGCTAGTTTGTAACCACGAATGCTCACTGCGAGCACTTGAACATGGCGCGAGCCACCCGCATTCGTCAGTTGGTACAATGGCGTTTTTTCATAGAAAAGTGCAAGTTTCTACCGCTGCTTTTATTGTGATGGCAACGATTATTAATAAAAAGCAACAGAAAAAGCGACGTAAACATCGTTGATGGGTCAAAAAGATTTATCGAAATCGGTTTGAATATGGGAACAGACTCCTAGAAGACGTGAGGTTCGAAGAAGACGTGACAAATGTCTTGCGAATGTCCAAGGAAGATTTTGAACATTTAATTACATTGATAGAGCCTGCCGTGAAAAAACGCGATTAGCTATTGGAGACTCATTTACAAGTACTCTCGGTGTTTAGAGTTCCAAAGCAAACGTTTACTTTCCTAACACTTCACTAGATCTCTTATTCTGTCATGAGTATCCATGATGACAGGTTCGCGTGGAATGGTTTGCAGAGAACAATTAATTGTGTTTGGTACGGTGCGAGGCAGCCAGCGCAGGTATCCACTTAACGCACAGCTCGGGGTGAGGCACCTTTGAGCACTGCTCTGAGACCGACAAGTACACGGCTCGCCTCACATTGTGCGACGCGAGCGCTGCACAGGTGCTCGCAGCGAGCAACCCCGGTATCCACAGTCCGAGGCAAAGCCGAGCATTCGCAACGAGGCATTCGCAGCGAGCTGCCTCGCACTGTGGATACCCGGCTTTAAAATATTTACAAAAACCGAACAGGCCTGTCGTACTAACGGGTGACATGTTCCCGTTCCGAGCAAAAACCGACTGGAAGATTTCTATGTCGAGCCCGGTGTGGTGGCGTTATCAGTTGAACTTTGTACTCCTGGCTTCTTGTTCCTTTTCTGATTTAAAATGCTATTGAATATGAAGTGTGACTTGTACTGTAGTTTGTCGTTTAAAATTATATCGTCCAAATTATTTTCGGTGTAAGCTTTGTAAATTTCATACTCTTCTAGGGTGTCCAGTCTATTGCCTTTCTTACTTGTGTGGAGTATTTCTAAGCCAGTGTTCAGATCGTTCATGTCGTGATTTTTGTCAACCAAGTGTTGTGCAAACGATGACTTTTGTTTGTCGGCTCTAGGAAATGGATGGTGCTCTTTGTATCTGGTTTTGAATGAACGTCCAGTCTTTCCTATGTAGTAGCTCGGGCAACTTGCACAATTAATCTTATACACACCTGACTTTTCACCTTTATCAATTACGCCACTTGAAACATTCAATTTGTTAATTGTTTTGTTGTTAGTCCTAAAAGTCAATTGAATGTCGTGTTTCTTCAGCTCCTTCGTGAGCGTGTGTTGAATGGAATGGGAGTATTCCACACATACATACTTTTTCTTTTCCTTTTGTAGATTATTATCACCTGGCCTTTTGTTTTTCTTTTTAGCTATCAGTCTATCAATCATGTTACTTTTATAACCATTAGCTATGGCTATATGTTTAATTATATTAAGTTCTTTATTATAATTGTTGTCCGCTACTTCAGCCGAGTTTGTGTTTTTGTAGTCTGACGATGGCATTATAATGTCGAAACGGCCGTAACATAGTTACACCACAGGATTTTGAGCTGCAGTGACGAAGGTAAAGCCTATTTTTAGCTATACTATAAACTGGACGGCACGACAATGAGTAGACAATAGTTGTCCCCAACATGGTTGGGAGAGGGGAGAGCCGCCATGTTGATCTTCATTCATCCACAGCTCTTTCAATTTATTCAACATTGTCCCGTCAATGGGTTGGCTTAGCATACAAACGCGGGTCTATGGTCTTCCCACCTCACCAGTAGGGTATTAGGCGATAGAACACCACATAGTGTTGGTGGCACTGGCACTAGTAGCTCCAAGACTCTCAGCTCTTTTGTGTCATTTGTCTTTTATATGGGGGTCATAAATGGTGCCAAGATAAAGTACATACACACATACTGGAGAAACACAGATCACCCCACTCCATTCTCCGCGTACACACACAAGTACGTCGCTGTCTTATTACAGTAACAAGGACCTGAGTTGATATGTTACCAAACACACCTCTCTGAAGTTGATAAAAAATTACAAAAGACCGTACTAAATAACACCTTTGACTATTAATACAACAACTTCTGTATCCAATAGTCAATGATAACACTAATAGTTGACCACAAATTCTACACGAAAATTTGCAAAATAAAAATAAAGTGAGCTTGTACAATGGAATGTATCGGCTAAACATGATTGCATTTGTTTGGAGGAAATTTCTAATGCATTATTCAATAAGTTTAGGCCCTTATTTGCAAATGTATACAAATAAATAATTGAGGTTGTAAACTAGTGAAGTGACGTACCTCTGAGGATCTGGTAGAGGAAGACTTTGATGTGGTCGGGCGACAGGTACTGGGGCGACACTATGATCTTGTGTAGGTCGCTCTGTAGTAGCTCGGTGATCACGTATCTGACGACAAGAGTCAAGGAAACGACAACAATAATACATTGGAGCTTATGTTGTAAAAGAATGATGGCTTGAAATGCATACAATTTGTACAAATTACTGGATAATTAAAATTCAAGTTGACGATTGTTAACGAGCTAACGATCATCAACACAATTAACGAGGATGCGGAATACTACCCCCGGAAACCACCCCACCCCACAGGTAATAGTCCAGTCAAGGAATGAGGTGTAGAGTGCGTGAGCAGGTAACTAAGCGATTCCTTCAGAAACTTGTTCAGGGGGCTTAGGGTGTTAACATACCAAAAGTCCTGACTCCTAGGTGGTGAGCCAGGGGGTGGAGGGGGGAAAAAGGGGGGGGGGAGAAAGGTACGCATTTTGGGTTTTTTTATTATATCTCGAAAACTATCAACTTTTTGTATACTATAGTAAATTATAAAATTGAAGAAGATTAAATTTTCTACAAGAAAAGTATATAATGTGTTTATTTTGGTTCAACAGATTACGAGTTATAACTTATTTAATTGATATCTTATTAAAATCTCCTTCCATAAGAAATACATGTAAATTAGTATGCGAAATGGGGCGAATCCTATCCGCCCAAAGGAAATATAAATGATATTCTGGAAATCTTGACAAAATTTCCAGTAATTTGACACTTTAATAATTAAAATTGATACAAAATTAACACGAGGGCGAGGTAACAAAATGTCGAGTTTTGGTGTTTTTTTATTGGAAATATAAAAAAAACCTTAAATCATCCCATTTTTAAACGCTCACCCTCGCTTTAATTTTTGACAAAATTTCATGATTAAAGTGTCAAATTACTGGAAATTTTGTCAAGATTTCCAGAATATCAGTTATATTTCCTTTGGGCGGATAGGATTCGCCCCATTTCGCATACTAATTTACATGTATTTCTTATGGAAGGAGTATTTTAATAAGATATCAATTAAATAAGTTATAACTCGTAATCTGTTGAACCAAAATAAACACATTATATACTTTTCTTGTAGAAAATTTAATCTTCTTCAATTTTATAATTTACTATAGTATACAAAAAGTTGTAGTCGAGTCAATATAGGCACTTGAGATAGAACAAATTCCAACAAATGGTTTTTCGACGGTTTTTGGTAGTAATAGGTGTAGTAAGCACCAGGAAAAAAGTCTACCAAAATCGGACAACCGGAAGTCGGTTTTTTCCAAGATGGCCGCCGTGAGGCCCTCAAATCGACAAGATGACTGCAAATTCGTCGATTCATAGTTCCAGGATTGGCCGATTTCCACGAAAATTGGCAAACACATGTAGAACTATATTTCCAACCTTAAATATGAAAACTAGGCAGACAAAGTAACTCAAAGATGAATTTTCAGGGTATTATGTGCTAAAAAATAAGATTTTTTACCTCAAATATATGTTTTTCTAATATTTTGTACAAAGTTTGTTATAATTTCAAATTTATTTTTTCGCCATTAGATTTAACACAAAAAGCCTAACAATTTAGTATATTGAATCTTTGTTCTGCTTCAATTTGTTACAGAGATATTGAAAGTAATAACTTTAGTATGTTTTCTTGCCGAGATAACTCAATGTTAATCTTATGGAGAATAAGCATAAATATTATTATTATTTTTCATTAAACCTATATAGATAAGACTTTTTGTTCTGCTTCATATTATCTGTTTTAATATTGCTTTACTAAAAATCCCTTTTTTGGCAGTTACCATTGCAGCAAACCTACGTATTCGGTTCCTTAGTCTTAATCATAAAGAGAATAAGCAAAAATCAATTTTTTTATTAGTCCGAGAAATATAGAATATTACCTTAAAAAAATTAAAGAAAACGTTTTATGGTTTTATGTTGTATTGTTGGGTATGCAGAGTAACATAGTAAAAATTGCCAAAAATCGGTCTACTGGAAAACCCCTAGAATCAAGATTTAATATAACGGATTTTCTCAACATTGGAAAAAATTTAAAAAATGCACATGCATTTTCATCGATATTGACTTCAGACCACCACCGATATTTATTGGGTGGCCATTTCTTCATTTCGATAGGGAACGTGTTTTCGGCCGTCATTTTGGATCCCCCTATTGGGTATAAATATTTTTTTTAGTGTAATGACAGTGTCATTTCAATAGGGAACGTGTTTCTGGCCGTCATCCTGGATCGGCCATATTGGATATAAATAATTTTTTTAATGTAATGGCAATGTTGTGACACATTATTTTAAACTAGATTTTCACGCCCATTCCATTGCCAAAGTGAGTTTTTAAATATCTTTTTTTCGTTTGAAAGATATATTCAAACGAAAATTCTCTTGCATACATTTCTTAAGGACGTTTCGTATTTTGAACATTTTTTAAGATTATTTTTATGTACTTATATCTCCAGTACATATTAACGCTTGCAGTTCGTTCTAGCCTTAAACATTTAGTGATGTAAGGGCTTTCATTTGAGCTATTGATCATTAAAATCTGACGAGTTAGAGACTAGTTACCAACCCAACAAAATATTAAATTTCACTTTTTAGAAATACATTTTTATTAAAATATTTATATCTCGGGTTCTTAATACGCCACCAAGTTCTTTCTGGTTTCATATTACTCAGTAAATGTTTGGGTTAATTTTTTTAATCACTTAATAAAATGTGACAAATTTAATATGGGTCTGTCTTATTTAACAATAATTTTTTTTCGAGATTTGTCTTTAGTTTAAGACATATACCCCCAAATCAAAAAATAACTCCCGATAATCTTTATAATCTTAAAAGATTCATCAAAGTATTGACTTTTACTGTAGTTATGGATTATTTATTGGGAGTTATTAGGATTGGGGATATATGTACTTAACTAAAGACAAATTATTTCAAATGCAAATAATTTAATATTAAATTAAGGTGCATGACTCATTTTTTATTAATTAGTCAGATATTATTTAGTGACTAATAAAATAAAAAACCTAATTCTCTACTGAGTAATTTGAGACCAGAAAGAACTTGGTGACGTATTAAGAACCCGAGATATAAATCATTTAATAAAAACTGATTTATAAAAAGTTAAATTTAATATTTTGTAAGGATTGGTAGCTCGTCTCTAACTCGTCCAATTTTAATAATCAATAGCTCAAATGAAAGCCCTTACATCATTAATTATTTAAGAATGAACTACTAACTGAAGATGAGGAAAATAATCGTAAAAAAATTTCAAAGTACAAAACGTTCAAAACAAAAAAAAATGTATTTAAAAACGGATTTCGGCAATGGAATGTGCGTGAAAATCTAGTTTATATATGTCACAACACTGTTATTACAACAACAAAAAATTATATCCAATAAGGTGGATCTAAAATGGCGGCCAAAATACGTTTTCCATCGAAATGAAGTACTGACCACCCAATAAATATCGATGTTGGTCCCAAGTCAATATTTAGAAAATTGTGCATAGAAAATGCTTATGGTATCTTTTTTTCAAAATTTGTCCAATGTTGGGAAAATCCGACTCTGCACACCCAAAACTACAACATAAAACCATAAAACGTTTTCTTGTATTGTTTTTAAGGTTATATTCTATACTTCTCGGACTAATAAGAAATAGATTTTTGCTTATTCTCTTTATGATTAAAACTGAGAAACCGAATACGTAGGTTTGCTGCAATTGTAACTGCCAAAAAAGGAATTTTTAGTTAAAAAAAATATTAAAACAGATAATATAAAGCAGAACAAAAAGTCTTATCTATATAGGTTTAATGAAAAATAATATTAATATTTATGCTTATTCTCCATAAGATTAACATTAAGTTATCTCGGCAAGAAAACATACTAAAGTTATTACTTTCAATATCTCTGTAACAAATTGAAGCAGAACAAAGATTCAATAAACTACATTGTTAGGTTTTTTGTGTTGAATCTAATGGCGAAAAAATAAATTTGAAATTATAACAAACTTTGTACAAAATATTAGAAAAACATATATTTGAGGTAAAAAATCTTATTTTTTAGCACATAATACCCTGAAAATTCATCTTTGGGTTACTTTGTCTGCCTAGTTTTTATATTTAAGGTTGGAAATATAGTTCTACATGTGTTTGCCAATTTTCGTGGAAATCGGCTATTCCTGAACTATGAATCGACGAATTTGCAGTCATCTTGTCGATTTGAGGGCCTCACGGCGGCCATCTTGGAAAAACCCGACTTCCGGTTGTCCGATTTTGGTAGACTTTTTTCCTGGTACTTTCTACACATATTACTACCAAAAACCGTCGAAAAACCATTTGTTGGAATTTGTTCTATCTTAGAGGCTTTTTTGGGCTAAATCGACTCGTCTATTGATAGTTTTCGAGATATAATAAAAAAACCCAAAATGCGTACCTTTCTCCCCCCCCCCTTTTTCCCCCCTCCACCCCCTGGCTCACCACCTAGGAGTCAGGACTTTTGGTATGTTAACACCCTAAGCCCCCTGAACAAGTTTCTGAAGGAATCGCTTAGTTACCTGCTCACGCACTCTACACCTACTTTTGGATCATTCATTGACTGGACTATAAAGAGCGTGACGTCACGAAATCTGTCTACTACAACCAATGGGAACCGTGTCCGCGACTGGAATACTACCTACCTCCCAAGCAAAATGTGAATGATATGTATTAAATTAATTTCATACGTAATAATTTTGTAATTTAATTCAAGTAATTCCGTTTGATAACAGAAAAGGTATGTGGGGAATTTCAAACAGAATTTGGAAATGTTACAGCAAGTTCAGTTAGTTAGGTTAGGTTAGTTTAGAACAGTTTGACATCGAAACTTGAGTGTCCGTGACTGGAAGATTGCCCCCTCCCCGGGTGGATCAATGACGTCTACATAGCGTAGGATCCTGCTTAGGGGGTTAGTTGTCTGGGGGGGCAGTCTTTCGGCGTCTCCTATAAACTACAAATTATTTAAGAAAACGCACAAATATTAACTCGTGGGATGCTTAAGGGCATGTGACATTAAGTTTCATATTACATT